GTTTGATAACTTTATTCAATTTCTGTATATTTCTGAAGGGCACAGGTAAATATGATACTTATTATAATGAGTTTATCTGAAGATTAAGTTCACTTAAATTAAAAGTTTTTTAGTTTTTTTTAAGTCTAATAAATGTTACAATTGATAGCTCTCAATTATACTGTAATGTTGAATGGCTATAGTCAATGATTAAATATTAGGGGGGAAAAAACTATTTCCCATAGACATCAGTAATATTGGTATCAGTGATACTTGCCTTCAGTCATAAAAAAGATGCCATTAAACAAATATAAAACAATATGCTGGCTTTGTTGTTTCTACATTCATTTGAAGATTGAATATGAAATTATTCCAGTCTTTTTTAGTTTAATTTTTACAACTTTTTTTTTTTTTTTTTTTTTTTTTTTTTTTTTTTTTTTGTTTTTTTTTAATAATAAAAAGTTTCTTTCTCATCTACACTGAATAAAATTATTATGAAATTATGAAATTATTCTAGTCTTTTTTAGTTTTTTTTTTTTTACTTTTTTTTTTTTTTTTTTTTTTTTTTTTTTTTTTTTTATTGATGTAATTGACTAATGAACAAACTCATAACAGTGAACGAACTTTTCATTTGTGATGAATTGTTTCTGTTGTTGTTTTTTGTAGCTGATGCCATCATCACAATGTCGGAACGCACCAGGATTCTTTTATCAGATCTCACGCCAGTGGCTCAGCCAGCACAACATGAACCTCCTGCCCTTCCAGAACAAGAACGATCCTCTGCAATAATCAACATCACATGCACGCACACTATTACAGTTGCACCGACACACACTACTTCAGAAAATTGAACCTTTAAACAAAGTACACACTACTGCCTGCATTCATTAATGTGTACAGAAACAAGCACAGGTAAAGTTTTCCAAGCACTTTTTATAAATAAAGCCTGTTAAAAAGTGTGCTTGACAAAAGTACCACTACTGTATGCACACTAGCTCAGGAGGAATTCCTAAGTTACTTGATGAACACACTTTGCCACAGATTAAACATAAAAAGGAGTCTTTTCACATAAGCAACAGAAGAGAACTAACAAGTGCCTAAAAAAACAAAATCACTGTAAACCTCAAGTACAGGAAGTTAACGCAGCCATTTACTTATTTATATATTCCACTGTCTGCTGCTGCTGCCTAAGCTCATGGCTTACTGTTCGAACTGACATCTGAAAATTAAATGTATTTGGTATATTTATATAGGAAATATTTAACATTTTAAAGATGAATATACAGTTATATTAGTTGGTGCCCTGCACTTTAGAGCAGTTTGTCTTTTTAATAAAAAGAGAAGTTTAAAGCTCTTCAACAGCATATTTTGATTTATTTGTTTGTTTGTTTGTCCCGTATGGCTTCTGTGGTATATCTGTAGTATAACTTTAATTTCATATCAAGGCCATTTAAATACATCAACAATTTGTCACCAAATTGGTCACATTTAATTTTTATCTGTTTAAGCCTTTTGCCTGATTTAGTCTGCCATCATACACCTTCCCCTTAAAAGCTTAAAGATTGGTACATTTAGCTTTGTGTGGCAGTTCTGGTTTATGATTCTGTCAAACTTCCTGTCATTGTGTGTTCGCATTTAAAAAAAAACAAAAAACAGAACTGCTCTACTTTTTATTACAACCTAGCAAATGGGTAGTTCACAAACAGTTAAAGGTCATGGAAAGTACAAGTTACAAACACACATTTGAGCATCCGTTCTCATGCTCAAAGTCCTCACCACAACAAAACATTTCATGCATCAAGTCCTGATTCTTCAATATCATTTCTAACACAGGGCTCTTAGTATAGTTTTTTTTTTTTAAAAATTTAAGTATTTAAATATTTTGTTGTGATTTGCATACACAACATGAAGAGCTGATGTGGTGTGGTGTAACCACATTTATTCCCCCTTCTTTTATCAAGACGTGATATGTTGTTTGTTTTACATTTGTAATACCAAAAGATGTTCTTTTTAAAAGTAGAGTTATAAATTCCTGAAGCTCAACAGGCAGAGCATGTCGATAACAACGGCAAAGTTGTGATTTTATTTCTCAGGGAACATTTTAAACTGATAAAATGTATTGTAAATGCACTGTAATCTTCCAAATGCATACACTTCTAGGAGTTTAAAAGATAAATTAATCATCAAACTGATGCATTTGTTCACCTTTGATATGTAATCAATAAATGAGGGGTAACAGATGGGTTTTCAATAAAAGTTAACTGTCTATGTAGTAAAACAAAGAAAAATGGCAGTGGCCAAAAAAGGAAAACTTCAACACTCATATAATGCACTGGGCTTGATCAGACTATCCATGAGTGGGAATACAAAAACATTGAAGTACAATCTGTAGTTTCCACAAATGTGGTGTAGGTAGTAACACATTGTTCATTTATGTGTACTGACATTGTAAATATTACAATTGACATTACAATACAAAGCTGGTTAAACATCAGCGAACTTATCCTTTAAATCAGAAAAAATAGGCCATTCTCAAGCCCATGTGTTTGAGTGTGTAACTACGTGTCTTAATGCAGGCACACAGTCCGTACATGTCTAGACTGTCACCTGCAAACAGGAAGACATCCTCTTTTTCTGCACATCAGCACCTTACTTAACCTCTAACCATTTCCTCATTACGTGTCTGTGGCTTCATGCATCATTTCACACCAAACTCAAAAACGTCTATTTCACACTTCGACTTTGCTACGATCTACGTTTTTTCTAAGAGCAAATAGTACTGATAAAAAAAAAAAATAACTGTCAGGTTTTCACTTTCAAATAATTGTCTCTAAAAGTAACCATTAGTAAAAAGTAATAACTTATTTTCCTTATTTACGAAAAAAGGTAAAAAGAAATATCATGCATTAAAGGGATAGTTCACCCAAAAATGAAAATTACCCCATGATTTACTCACCCTCAAGCCATCCTAGGTGTATATGACATTCTTATTTCAGACAAATACAATCAGAGTTATATTAAATAATGTCTAGGCTAATCCATGCTTTATAATGGAGTGGATGGTAGCCCAAAATCTGAAGTCCAAAAAATTGCACCCATCCATTATAAAAGAAGTCCACATGGCTCCGGGGGGTTAATAAATGCCTTCTGAAGCGATGCGTTTGTGTAAGAAAAATATCCATATGTACAACTTTATAAATCTTAATCTCTAGCTTCCGCTAACTGTCCGGCCCGGGACGATAGACTTGATATCATTACGTCATTACGAATGACATCATTACGTTAGGGCGTTAAAGCATTGACACAAACTGTCCAAAAGAACCGGTTCGCGGAAAAGAACCGGACTTCCCATCACTACTCATTGGCTACTGATACAGGAGAGAACCAATCAGCTGTGCCATGTGATAATGATGTCATTAGGTCAGATTGAGTTAGACCTATCGGACTGCGCCATCTAGGGTTTCATGCCAAAACTCTGTATTTTTTGCGCAGATATTAGGCCTGTTAGTAAAATATGTTGACTTTAGCAATCTTTGTTGCATTATGTGCCAATGGTGATCATTCAAAAATGGGGAGAGAAATGACATGTATCTTGTTTCCTTCTGTCGAACATACCTGTCTGAGTGACATAATTATTCTTTTACCAAAGTTTGTCAGTTTGACAAAGTTTGGCACTCAGACAGGTATGTTCAATGCAGTTGTTTGGACAGAAGGAAACAAGATACATTTCTAGTTTCAAGATTATTTGTTCTTCAGACATTCCTCTTTAAATGAAAAGAAGTATCATATTTTTGCTAAGTGACCCACATTTGGTTTTTGACCACTGAATGTGTGTACAATTTAACAATTTACACCTGGAGCCATATTGAGATCCCAATATCTCTGGAAACGAAACATATAGGGCTTAAAAATGAAGATGCCGAAAGGGAAGTTTGTTTGAACCCAGTATCTAAAAGTGCATTAAGATATCTTTAATACTTTTTGAGTTACAAGCATGCAAACTTTGAAGAAAAAACTTAAAAAGTGCACTTTCCCCATTTTTTGAATGATCACCATTGGCACATAATGCGACAAAGATTGCTAAAGTCAACATAAATTACTAACAGACCTACTATTTTGTCAGTTTGACAAAGTTTGGCACTCAGACAGGTATGTTCAATGCAGTTGTTTGGACAGAAGGAAACAAGATACATTTCTAGTTTCAAGATTATTTGTTCTTCAGACATTCCTCTTTAAATGAAAAGAAGTATCATATTTTTGCTAAGTGACCCACATTTGGTTTTTGACCACTGAATGTGTGTACAATTTAACAATTTACACCTGGAGCCATATTGAGATCCCAATATCTCTGGAAACGAAACATATAGGGCTTAAAAATGAAGATGCCGAAAGGGAAGTTTGTTTGAACCCAGTATCTAAAAGTGCATTAAGATATCTTTAATACTTTTTGAGTTACAAGCATGCAAACTTTGAAGAAAAAACTTAAAAAGTGCACTTTCCCCATTTTTTTGAATGATCACCATTGGCACATAATGCGACAAAGATTGCTAAAGTCAACATAAATTACTAACAGACCTACTAATCTCTGTGTAAAAATCTAACCGTGATGCTGCCATCTTTCTAAAGTCATTTTTAACTCCTATGTAATTTGGCTCTGAATCTGTGAAACCTGAAAATTTGACCCCTATCAAATTTTTTTAGGAGAAAAAGTTTTGGCCTTCATCACTATACATGTTTATCTTTCTTCAGAAACAAAAATATTATCAAAATTCGAGCCAGGGAAATTTCTGAAATTTGGTTGATTTGACATGGAATGAACCAGATGCAATTATTGGAGAAATCTGCCATGTCACCAGAGAAAAGTTGTTTCACTGGAAGATTATGACATTTAAATAAAAAAATTACAAGGGCAAAAAAATTGTAAACATACGCACAGATGAATCATCCACGATAAGGTCAATAACATTTCATTTTATTGAACAAGCATAACAGAAACATTTCATATTTAAATTAAAAACCTTGAAATGTTATACAGGCTACAGAAAAAGCAAAATAAGTCCCAGCTAGGAAAACAAAAGAAATCATGCAAAAGAAGAAGATCTTGAGCTGCTACGTAACCCTAGTAGGCCTTTGTGGATCTTCTTATGAACACTGTTGCTGCTAAGCACATAGAAAACAGGGTTTATGGCACTGTTGATTGTAGACAGACCCAGAGAGATTGTATAGGGTGTGTAGACACTTCTTTCAAAGTCACATGTCCCATTCGAGAAGTGGAAATTGATGGCACGTAGCAAAAGAATCACATGGTACGGCGTGAAGCAGACTAAAAAGAACAAGATGACGGCTAAGGCCAGGTTACGAATTCTGACTTTGGCCCGTGGCTTCAAACCCGTGCTAGCTTGAACTTTAGCAATGATGGCCAAGTTGGTGACTATTAAAATGCACAGCGGGATGAAGAAACCGATGAAGAAGCGGGCATAGTTGAGTCCCGTCACTATGACAGAGGGGTCGCTTGGCTCGAAGCACCGCTTCTCCTTCGTTTTTTCAGAGTCGCCCTCTGTCATGGTGAAAACCGGCACGTGTCCCACAGCAACGACCACCACAATCACAACGCTGATGATCACAGCATGCCTCATCTTTCTCAGACCTCGAGACTCCATGGCGTAGACCACCGCGACGAAGCGGTCCACGGAAACACAGCACATCAAGAAGATACTGATGTACATGTTGTTGAAGAACACGTAGCCGGTGATTTTACAGGCCAGAGAGCCCCACTCCCAGTGATGACCTCTGTTGATGTAAATGGCCCAGAGTGGAAGTGTACCTAGATACATCAGATCACACACTGACAGGCAGAAGAGGTAGACTCCTAGGACGTTCTTCCGGCACACTTCGAGGAACGTGAGGAAGACTGTGATCACATTAGCAGGCAGACCTAATGTGAGGACTGTGCTGTAGAGAACCACCAGTGGAAGTGGGTTTTCTTCCTCGTAAGGTGGTTCACAGCTGTTTGTGTGGTTTGTTGGACCGGTTATGTTCATGGTCACTGGAAAGCTGAGAGAGGGATCCAAAATGATGGGAGACAAAAACATAATTTCATTTAAAAAGCATGGAGTTGATATGAAAAAAGAAAAGACCATGAAAAACAAAGCTAATGTCAACAGTAATGCTACAGAAAAAATCCTCACGTGCTACTTTAAATACATTTATACAAGTATTGTGGTCTCATTTCCTCTCAGATTACTTCCCATAGCTAAAGCCAGGCTCGCACTGTGCGATTTTTTAAAGGGTCAATCATGTCACACTGTGGGATCTCAGTTTTCATTAATGTCAGACTGTATCAACAGTCAAGACGTGTTAAAAACGGATGTGCGCAAGAAAACTTGTCCCGAGTTTTACCTTATCAACCCACACACGTTCAGTGACTGCGAGCTGCATTGCACGCGGGGCTGTAATGTTGGCTATCATTAAAAGTATATGAATGGCGGCAATACTGGCATATTTATGCAGAATAGTGCAAGCAGCACTACACACCCACATGAAAACAGCAGCGCAACCGGTGTTTATCATAGCAAAGGCAACAAATCAGATGAATTCCGTGAGCGGAGGACGAGAGCTCCGGAATTTTTGCGGTTAGAAGAAATCTCTAGCATTAATTCTGATCACGGCTTGTCTTGAAAAACAACAGTTTGACGTTCGTCGCAGGAGATGTCACACTGCAGGACTGTGCGCCAAATCTTCTGGCACTGCCAGAAGTTCGTCGGAGGTCAAATTTGATCGCAACGGTCATTAATCGGCTGTCGGTGAACATGTCAAACCAGCGATCAAAGATTACAGATTTTAGCCTAGGATTATAGGAATCATTTAGGATTTTCAAAATTAGTCTCAGACGACCAAATCGTGGCCAAAATCGCACAGTATGAGCTGGGCTTAAGTCAAATATTATAAAACACGTTGTGGTTGATTTCTAATATGCAAGACGTTTTCTTATTATCACATAGCCTAGACTTGCTATGTTGGATAAATGAACTAAATTAACAATTTTTGATGGGAATTTAAGATTACAATTAAGTGAACATTGGGATTTATTTTATATTTAATTTTAAAAGGGTCATATGATGTTGCTAAAAAGAACACATATATACATATATACATTTGGTGTATTTGGTGTAATGAAATGTGTTTATGCGGTTTAAGGTTCAAAAAACATTATTTTCCACATACTGTACATTATTGTTTCTCCTCTATGCCCCGCCTTTCTGAAACGCATTGATTTTTACAAAGCTCATCGTTCTGAAAAGCGAGGTGTGCTCTGATTGGCCAGCTATCCAGTGCGTTGTGATTGGCCGAATACCTCAAGCGTGAGACGGAAATGTTACGCCCCTCACCATACTGTGATGCCGTGTCCCGGAGCGACGAGACAAAAACATTAAAACCCATTATAAACGAGGCATTTGTTGCATCCAGTGGGGACATAATTATAATGACTTACAGTATACTGTCTTTTTACGCGTTGTGTTGCATCGCGCCGCGTAAACATAAAACCATGTCTGCATTTGTGATCGGAGAAATGACAAACAATAAGCTCTACTCACTGCTCAAAACTCCCGTTTGCATCATCAGTGGCAAATCCTTTAAATATGAAAACGTACTTACAGTCTGTGAGTCAGAACAGCCGGCATTGTAGTCTACTCTACCAGGATCAGTAAACAGTCTGCACTGCAATGTCTGCAACAAAGTTCCTTGATTACTACCCCGGAATGAGAGTATAGTTTCTAGCCTATCGGCCTAGAAAATCGCAACTTTTCATTTTCCGTCGGTCTTAGTACACGCTGTAACTACAGAAGAGTCAAGTTATAAATAGGAAACATATCGAAACTCTTTGGTCATTTTTGAGCGAGATGCTAACGGTCTAATCAGATTCAATGATCTATGCTAAGCTAAGCTAAAAGTGCTACCGCCAGACCCGGAGATCGGCTGAATGGATTCGAAAACGGTAAAACTCAACTGTTTAACTCTAGAGTAGTTGGAAAATTTGCCTATTTTCAAAAATATTGGAGTGTTCCTTTAACTTTTATAAAGAATATCTCTTTGGATTTGAGACTTTAGTCTTTGCAACTTTGCAGATCTTCTTTATTCACCAAGAGCTTGTAACACTCCAAAGAGAAAGGAACATTTTTTAAATCGCATCATATGACCCCTTTAATGTAATTTTTGAGCTCACTAAGCTAGTCATGTGACCTAAATACGCCGACCACCATATGAGGCGAACTCACACCAAATAAAACCGCTTTTATCAAGCTGCTGATGTGACTGGAATCTGGCGTGAGTGTATTTGCATGTGTTTGTCAAAATGTAAACTTTACATTTAGAAAATCATAAACATCTGGACATTCACGAAAACATTATACACTTGCATACATTTTGTGTACAATATCTGTAATATTTTACAGTATTTGTTAACATTTGTTAATGAAATACTTCTAACAACAAAACTATAACAAAACTATTGCTCATTGCTAGTTAATGTTAATGCATTAACTAACCTTAACTAACGGGATCTTGTTACCATATCAGTATAATATTATATTTTTCATATAATTGTAATAGGCTAATAGACCTGCTCGCTTATATTAGGTTAAGTTACCGGTTTCCCTTACAAAAATTAACCATGGTTTTACTATAAATAATACCATGGTTAATATAGTTAAACCATGGTAACCACAAATGAACTATGGTTTTACTACAAATAAAAACAAAACAAAACAAACATAGTTAATATAGTTAAACCATAGTAACCACACATTAACCATGGTTTTGCTACACTAACCTTGGCATTTGTAGTAAAACTGTGGTTATACTACAAATGGTAATCCTACACTTTTACTATAAAAAAATATCATGGTCAATTTTCGTAAGGGTTTGACTTCACAACTCAACAACTTCTCGTTTCCCTTGAAGTCGTAAGTTTTGATTCTACCTCCATGATGTACCGTTACATAATAAAACGAATAAAAGAGTTACCTCTTATTCCAGATGATCGCGGAAACTCTACTCAGTATAACTGTTCATGGCATCAGTCTCCGTTTCTATTTGTCAAATCAGTCCAAACTCTCTTTTTCATCCCGAACTTGGTAATAAACGTTCAACTGCACCTGAGGTGAAGGAAGTGATGAGTGTTTATGCAAGCGCTGTGAGTGAGATGCTGCCTGCCACTGACTTTGATACAGTAGAGTGAGGAAATAGCAGTTTGATATAACAAGACATTTTTGAGTACCATTTACAGACGAAAGACATCAGATGTGATGAAAATGTGTTTCCACATTTCCTTGGGTGACGTCATTTGTGACTATTATTTAAATCTTTAGGGTTGGATAAACATATACTCAACTCCCTTACTGTAAATACTGCTATGAGTGGCAGTTTATTTGTTTGTCATGAAAAAGTGATTTCCTCCAGAGGGCGCTGCAGGGCTAAAAATTGGAAATATATTTTACGCAAAACTAAAATTCTGTCATAATTTACTCCTCAGGAGCGATAAATTGGATGGCATCCCTATTATACGGTGGCAGAGAAGTGCTAAACAAATCACAATTCTGAAAACAAAATAACAAATTGCAAATGCAAGTCTAAAAAACAAAATAACAATTCAGAAAGCACAACAACAATTCAGAAAACCTTATAACAAGTCAGAAAACACAACGACAAATTCAAAAAACAAAATAAGTCAGAAAACACAACGACAAATCAGACAAACCGGAAGAGGTAGGTATAGTTTGAGACAGTGCCATTGGTTTGGGATTACTCACCGCTGACTGGACGAGACATCTGTCAATCAACTTATACAGAGAAGAACCAGCCGAAGAACAGCAGAGTCGTGGTAGAAAGTTCGGAGATGGTATTAAAGTAGCTCAGTTTAAATGTATTGTATGAATTGCCCTTACTATGGAATAAAAAATACGGGGTGTCTATTTACATTTAGTTAAAAGTGGCTGTAAAACATCAGCTTCAGTGGCGTGGATGGATAAGCGTGTGACGTTGGCTTTTTGACGCGTTCGATCCCGCCTTTTGCCAAACTTTTTTTTCTCCCTTTTCAAATCTCGTATCACATCGTAAAGGCATTTATTTTCAATAAAAATTAAGGAAATAATCAAAAAGTTGAAAATAAAGTATGGGGTAGGGTTAGGGTAGGTGTAGGGAGGGCTTTATTGTACCAATAAGGTGGCATCCATTTAATAATTACAATTATAATTTACACTCAATACGTTATTATTGCATACTGTTTTATAATGTACTACAATACTGAAGTGCAGATAATTGCCACTATTTGCAACAAGTAGTTTACTTGATAGTAGAAATCCTGCTATTTTAAACATAGTGTAAATAAGTATTTGCACTTATTTTTATGTTATTATTTGTGTTATATAATGTATATGTCTATGCACATGCTTTTAGAATTTGCCCACAATCTGTATTATATACTGAATTGCTTGTATGCTGTTGAATCCAATCCACCAAAAAGACTTTTAAACTGTTGCAAATCCGTCCTAGTTGTGTTGCTGTGGTGACGCTTTACGGCATTTGGATCATGGCGGAGTCGCTGAGCGGTGTGCAGTTGAGCACGGTAAATATTTGGCTTTTAACCACTTAAGACATAAATTCAGTCGCATGTCACGCGTTTTGCAATATATTATGATTTCAGCAGGGAAATATATATGCTGAGTATGCGTGGTAAACTTATAGATTCTGTGTTATCTACGATTTAATGATGAACATATTGGTCAGATACTGCATTTTGTTTACATGATTGTTGCTTATGATTCAGCACGCAGACACGAGCAGATTTAACACCCGCTTTAACTGCTCTTTATTCCACATCGCGCATTTTAAAGCGTTTAGTACGTTGCGTTTTCTTCTTGTTTTATTCGCAACATGAGCTGTTATTATTTAGTGTTAGCCTGAATAGTTGCTTGTAAGTTAATGCAGGCAAAACGAGCAGTCGTGTATGTGCATTTTCGAGGTGATGCTTTTGTAAGTTGGGTTTGTTTACGAAACTCTAAAATCTTTCATTTTCATTTTTAGGTAGATTGGGTTGAATACGACAAAATGTCACCAGGTCTTCGGCTTTGTGTATTTATTTTCACCTTTTCATGCAGCCCCTTCTATAATCAGAATAGACTGTTTTTTATTTATTGATATTTGCTACTACAGAATGTAGACTTGCGCAATATAACCAAATTTAGTGTTTTACCATTAGGCCTAAGTGTTAATGCTTTATCAAATATATATTTTTTAATAAATAACATCTTAGAAGTAAAAAAAAAAATTAATAAAATGTTTGAATTTGAAAGATTTGAAACGCATGCTATTAGTGTTAAATTTGCTTAGACATAGCAGATATTGAGAAAATATTCCTCATGATTTTTCAACCTTAAAATAGATCAGGATGTAGATTTCCACATTTCTCTGAAGTGGGAGCTGATAGTGATGTTGAAATGTGTCTCCTCCTGTTGATATTCGGAGACCGAGCATAAATCTGCTTTCGTAATGTATCATAATGCAGTTCTGCCATAGTTGCCTGTTTAATATTGCATCGCCTTATTCGTTAGCCAGTTGACATAGGAAATAACCAGCACTTTGAAAATAAGTGTCAGGAGTCAGGACTGACCCTTGGTCCTTCTTTGACAGATCTTGCTGCAGACAATGAGGTTAATTCATATAGGCAGGAGTATAATTTATTTCAAACATTCAGTTTTATTGGCATGAATGGGTATGCATGCACTACGGTTTCGATTTCGATGGCTAGGGGTCAAAGGCCGTTTATGAGAGGTTTATCTGTGCATTAAGAAGCTCTGAAATGTCTTGGATTGATTGATGTAATGCACTTAGTGTACATACATTTTTTTTTGCATTGATAAACTAAGGCCCGGTTTCATAGACCGGGCTTAGCCTAAACCAGGATTAGGCCGTAGTTCAATTAGGACATTTAAGTCATTTTTATAAACATTCCTTAGAAAAAAACATTACTGGTGTGCATCTTAAGACAAAACAAAGGCACTGACATGTTTTAAGATCAGTCAGTGCAAGTTTCTTTCATTTGAAACGGCTCAGATTTACATTTTAGTCTAGGACTAGGCTTAAGCCTTGTCTGTGAAACCGGGGGTAATAGTTTCAGTAATAGCTAACTGGAATATCTTTTAGACCTTGTATACTGAATACTGACAGACATAGCATGCTGATCACCATCTTTGCCATGTGATTTGGTGTTTGCATATGAATATATTTAACCACCAAAATGTACATGCATAATAGCTACCTACCTACTTATTTATTAATTAATACAAATCTTTTTTTTTTAAATAAAAAATACTACAACTATAGTCCTAAAATGTTATATTAATATTCATTTATAAATATACAATTATAATGAAATATGTATTTAAATATAATATTATAATAAAGAAATTCTTCAGACTGTATTCAAAATTTTTTATTTTCAATAAACATAAAAGGATATATTTTTAGTTTACTAGTTGCTCTTTTCCATGCGGTTACAATGAACTGAAGCTTTCTTGCATCTTACTCTTAAATGGTCTTTTTGAACGGAGGAGGAAGATTTTGACTAAAATAAACATTTTGAGCACCTTTATTTCAAAATGTACAAAATAACTTGCTTTTATGTGACCCTGGACCACAAAACCAGTCATCAGGATATTTTTTTTTTCAAAATTGAGATGTATACATCATCTGATTCCATCATTCCATTGATGTATGGTTTGTTAGGATCTGACAATATTTGACCAAGATACAACTATTCGAAAATCTGGAATCTTTTCAATCTGGATTCTGGATTTTCTCAAAATCTGAATATTGAGAAAATTGCCTCTAAAGTTGTCCACTTGAAGTTATTAGCAATGCATATTACTAATCAACAATTAAGTTTTGATATATTTACAGTAGGAAATTTACAAAATATCTTCATGGAACATGCTCTTTACTTAATATCCTAATGATTTTTGGCATAAAAGAAAAATCGATAATTTTGACCCTTCCAATGTATTTTTGGCTATTGCTACAAATATACCTGTGCGACTTATGACTGGTTTTGTGGTCCAGGGTCACATATGACCCTTTAATGTAGAATGCACGATATTGGATTTTTGCCGATATCCAAAATGCGATATTTTTAAACTCTTTTTGGCTGATGGCCGATGCCGATATATTTCCTTTTGCTTGGAAACAACACCAAGTCTCTCCTGTGTGGAAATTATAAGCAAATTATTTTTAATTTTGGTTAGTTTTTAACAATAACTTATTTGTTAGAATTAAATAAACAATAATGAAGTTATTTTATAATGACAGTACATTGAAGCCTTGAAAATAACTATAAATAAACTATATCAATTGCTGCTTTTTTTTTCAGAAACATGCAGTAGTAACCTTAACATTTTATTTTAAGATTTAACATTTGTAGATGATCTAAAGCGAAAGAGTTGTAAAAATTCAGAAAATATTTTAGAGCTCATAATTTGTTTAAAATAATAAAACATATTACACATTAATGAATAAATGAGTATAGGCTATATAAAATGATTTAATTTACAAGTGTCATGTTTGTGATTTAAAAAAAAAATTCATGTAAGCTATAGCTTCTGACCTTTAAATCAAAACATACTCATGATTTTATGACATCAATTACTGCTTTATTTAATCAGAAACTGTCTAAATTTTATTTGTGTATTTTACTTTCATTTTATTAAAAGCAGGCCAATAGCGCCCCCTACGGAATTAAAACTCCTTACCGAACGGGCATTAAGACCCAGGGGAGGCTGCCGCTGCACGTGGTATTACTGTTTACTCTATCATACACCGAACGCATTCTGTATGTGCATTCTCAGTTTAAATGAAGCGATCCAACGCAGTGAACCTAATCATCATTCAGGCAAAACTTCGCTTCAAAAATTAATCACACTGTTGACATGATCTAATCACTAGCACACCCTGAGCACATGTGAGTTAACGTATTACTCTTATCGGCAAGACATATCGGCATAATTTTTCATATCGGGCCGATGCCGATATGTACATTTAAAGCCATTATCGGCCGGTTCCGATATCGGTCCGATAATATCGTGCATCCCTACTTTAATGTAATTGGTTAGTTTGTTATATAATCTATGCTTTTTCTCTTTTGCCACCAGAAATGGCAGGAGGCTTCAAACAGAGGGGCTGCCATACTCAGCTATTTAGGGGAGCAAGTCCCTCTAATTTACTGTCTGGAGACAGAGCCACAACAAGGGGAGGAGGAGCAAAAGGTTGAGCAACATCTCCTGTATCCTCTGGAGTGCTTCCTTTTTGGAGAGGAACCTTGTGTCGGCCTGGAGAAGCTACAGCAATACAACAGCAGCTCATCAGCTCAGCAATGTGGACGTGTCTTTAAAGAGGGCGAGACTGTCTACACCTGCAGGTTAGACCAGAGCCCCTTTGATAATATATGCAGTCATGACTCATCAATTCCTTTAGGAGAACATCAGCAAGACTGCTTGATGAGTCAGCATCTCAGTGCAGATTGTTCATTGGACAGCCTTGTGAGTGGATAATGCACATTTCATTTATTCAAGTAATTTGAGTGTATTAGTCAAATTGAGGTAATACGGTGTAAATAAATGTTCATATTTCAGCAATTTTCTGCTAGCATATTATGTACTGTATTTACTATCAGTGAAAAATTTGGACACTTGAATGAATGTAGGTTTCTCGTGAACACGATTAAAAGGTTTAGAAGATGTTTTTTTTTATTAGTTGATTAATTTGTTTTTTTCATCATTCATTCATTCATTCATTCATTCATTCATTCGTTTAATCTTTTTAACCCCAAATCTTTTAAACGCTAATGCCACCAACATTACGTAATAGCATTAAAGGAATAATTGATGTGTTATTCCATATTATATAGTAAAACAAACAAATAATATAGAAATAAATGAATGAATGAAAAATATTATTACATTTTAACGTTTTACCATTTAGGGTTTAAAATGATCTATCTGTCTATCTGTCTATCTATCTATCTATCTATCTATCTATCTATCTAGATAGATAGATAGATAGACAGATATCTATCTATCTATCTATCTAGATAGATAGATATCTGTCTATTTATCTATCTAGATAGATAGATATCTGTCTATCTAGATAGATAGATAGATAGATATCTGTCTGTCTATCTATCTATCTATCTATCTATCTATCTGTCTATCTAGATAGATAGATAGATAGATATCTGTCTGTCTGTCTATCTATCTATCTATCTATCTGTCTATCTAGATAGATAGATAGATAGATATCTGTCTGTCTGTCTATCTATCTATCTATCTATCTATCTATCTATCTATCTATCTATCTATCTATCTATCTATCTATCTATCTAGATAGATATCTGTCTGTCTGTCTATCTATCTATCTATCTTTATTTCTCTCTCTCTCTCTCTCTCTATATATATATATAGAAATAACTTTACTGTTATTATAACTTATCTGTAAATATTAATAATAAAGAATGTTTAAGTGTGTCCAAATCTTGTTTTTATATATGCATTTATTTATTTATTTTTGCCTGGAAGTATATATCAACACAACACCATTCACCATACTTCTATAAGTTCTAATTATGCTGAATTCTTATATGTATTTCCAGGGATTGTGCAATAGATCCCACCTGTGTACTCTGCATAGAATGCTTCCAGAAGAGTGTGCACAAAAGTCATCGCTACAAGGTACATGCACTCTTAATAATAATTTGTTTTCTTTCTAAATCATTTGTTTTTCCTTTCCCAAAATCTCAACCTTGTTCTACACGTTTTTATTTTTATTTTTTTTTTTGAAAATGTTACCACCATCTAAAGTATTATTATTTTTTATTACTGTATATTATTTATTTATTCTTACAATTTGCATTGCTACCGTAGATGCATGCCTCAGCAGGAGGAGGTTTCTGCGACTGTGGAGATTTGGAGGCTTGGAAGAGCGGACCCTGCTGCTCCCAACACGACCCTGGCACTTCAGTTACTATGGAAACGGTACAGTTTATTTTCTCTTATCGATGCTAAGATTTTTTTTCCATGAACACTATTGTTGAACTAACTTCCTGCCTTGAGGTCAGAGGAGCCGTTCTGTCCGTGCATTTGCTAAATGCAACCCTCCCTCTGTGGGAAAACACAAAGTGTGTGGGAAAGTGACACGCAGCAGGCCTGTGATGCAAAAACAGCTGGAAAAAAATGCAGGGACTGCAGGAGTAGAAGAAAAAAGTAAAGTCTTTTAGTAAGAGGGTTTGTTGTACAAGGAAATTAATGTACGAAATAGTTAGTAAGAATGAAAGACTATCCGTTGTAAATAGAGTATATAGGATACTGGTATCGGTATCGAGCCCGATACTGAGCTCCTGTACTCGTACTCGTTAAAATGCCCCGATACCACACAGCATGTGATCAGTGCCATATTCAGACACCGACAGCAGACAGCAGAATGGCGTTATAAGAGATTAAGGATGTCTACGAAGTATATGTATGTAATTAATATAATGTTAAACTTTCAGTATTAAGCCTCTATAGCTGATGTGTGCGAGCTGATAAACAAAGCACGCTGAGTTGATTGAGCGCGCGGCGGCAATATTTTTTTTTACTAGTGGGTGCAGGACACTATAGTTCATTTATGTAAGAGAGGATAGCAAAATAAAGTAAACTGTGAGAAATTATACCCAAAATTTCGTCATACAGTGGACTACCAGTAAAACTGATACAAATTTGGGACCAAAAATTATTCAGACCGAGTCTGGGAAAAAAAAAATGAAGTTGAGGTTTGCATGAAGCTGGATGACAGCATGCCCAGGAGACTATATGCTGTCATTAAGGCTAAGGGTTGCCCGACTAAGTATTGATAGTTGTGTAAATAGTCATACTAACAGCCGTCTAATTTTTTGGTTGTTTGTAATCCATTAGGCTATCAAAGTTATCTAACATTATCAAGCTGAATTTGTTCTGACACAGTTTAACTCTGAGTTCTTGTCATATTTTATTACCATTTTCTAAACTATAGCGAATAAACTGTGATAATGTGAGAAATGTTGAAGGTGTCTGAATAAATTGTGGTATGACTGTATCTATTTGATAAATGAAGTTAACCAACTAACAATATACATACTCTTTTGGTTTCTGTACCCAATATTTAAAAAATTTACAAATACAATAAAATATTGGTATCGGTACTCGGTATCGGCAAGTACCAAAAATAAAAGTATCGGTATCGGGCGAGTACTGGAAAAAGTGGTATCGGTGCATCCCTAGTTGTAAATTTTGGGTGTTGAAGGGCATATTAATTCATCTAAATCCCAGTATTCCATAAAGATCGAGGACGTACTGATATCGGCAGATTTCTTGCTGTGTGCCTGGATTTTGGCCTGGAAAGCAGATGGTCTGCTTCAGTGTTCTGATAACTCAATAGATCCACCGTGATTAGATCAGGCTCCAGATCCGCACTCACTCATGGCCACTTACAGTGTCCTCACCTTTGTCGGAAAACAGCAGGTGCCTTTTTGTGTTTGACACCCTCTGGCGAGATCTAAACATTCACATAATGAACATGACAGATGGACATTTCAACCAAATCAGCAAACATCATATCCTGCTCAAAGGGCCTGTCGTGTTTTGTTATCTTTTTGCTGCATGTACAGTCAAATTAAGCTCTTTCGGTAGCTAGTCACTATTTTTGGCGTGACTGGCTTTTAGGAGATGTTACAGATTGTGATCTTCTGGTGGAGTTATGATATTTAGTTATGCAGTAGACCTTTGGGAGCTTGCATTCTGCCAAATTACAAACAAATGTGAGAATAAACAGCAGTGAGTTCTTGTGTGGTTGTGTTTTTGTGCTCCTCTCTATGCAAGCCTACTCTCCTTAAATAATAATAACAAAGCCATTTAAAGGATTATTAAAGAGTAATTTGTTCCCAACAATTAAAATTCTCAAATAATTTTAGTGCTGTCAAACGATTAATCACGATTAATCACGATTAATCGCATCCAAAATAAAAGTTTTTGTTTACATAATATACGTGTGTGTATTGTGTATATTTATTATGTGTATATATAAATGCATACACATACGGCATATATTTTGAAAATATTTACATGTATATATTTATATTCATATAATTTATATCATATATAAATACATTTAATGTATAAACATAAAATACTGTCCCACATATTTTTCTTAAATATATACATGCATGTGTGTGTATTTCTATATACATAATAAATATACACAGTAAATATTATGTAAACAAACTTTTATTTTGCATGCGATTAATCATTTGACAGCATAAAATCATTTGTCATTTCGAAACACTTTTGACTATTTTTTTTCTTCCTTTTTTTCTTTCTTTCTGTGAAACACAAAAGGAGATGTTTAGCAAAATGTCCAAGTTGCTCTTTTTCATATAGTGCAAGTGAAGGGGATCTTAAAAGTAGTCCACACGACTCATGCACTATATACTTTTTTTTTTTCACCTGGGATCACTGAAAATCTGCTCATCTGCTGTAGCACATAAATTTCATTCACAAGCACAAACACTGCTGTTCAAAAGTTTGGGATCAGTAAGATTTTAAATGTTTTTTAATGGAGTCTCTTGCTCTCAAAATGCTGTATTTATTTGATCAAAAATACAGAAAAAACCCCCATAATATTGTGAAGTAGTATTCCTATTTTAATATACTTTAAAATATCATTTATTTCTGTAATGCAGCACTGAATTATCGTCAGCCATTACTCCAGTCTTCAGTGTCACATGATCCTTCAGAAATCATTCTAATATTCTGATTTATTATCAGTGTTGAAACTGTTGTGCTGCTTAATATTTTTTTTGGAACCTGTTTCTTTGATGAATAAAAAAAAAAACTATATATATATATATATATATATTCAAAATAGAAGTCTTTTCTAACAATGTAAGTCTTTACTTATCCATTTAACACATTCTTTCTAAATAAAAGTATTAATTTCTTTAAAAAAAATACTGTCCCCAAACTTTTGAATAGTAGTGTATATTGTAACAAAATATCTATTTTGAATAAACGCTGTTCTTTTTAACTTTTTATTTATCAAAGAATCATTAAAGTATCACAGGTCCAAAAAATATTAAGCAGCTGATTTCTGAAGGATCATGTGACACTTTTGACTACAGTAATGATGCTGAAAATTCAGCTTTGCTTTACAGCAATTAATTATATTTTAAAGTATATTAAAATAGAAAACAATTATTTTAAATTGTAATAATATTTCACAAAATTAAAAAAATAAATCTGTATTTTTGATCAAATAGATACAGCCTATTAGCATAAGAAACTTATTTTAAAAACTTCAAGTCTTACTGATCCCAAACTTTTGAACTCCAGTGTATACTAATGTTTAAAAGTTTGATGTTAGAAAAAAATTAATAGTTTTATTCAGGAAGAATGCATTAAATTGATCAAGTGACAGTAAATACATTTATAATGTTACAAAATATTTCTATTTTAAATAAATGATGTTCTCAGAACTTTCTATTCATCAAAGTCAATGAATTGTGAAAAATACATTTCAACTTGTGCAAAAATATTAAGCCGCACAATTGTTTTAAACATTGATGAAATTAAAATAATTTATTTATTTAATAAATAATATATATATATATATATTAGGCATTACCGTGGGAAGTAGGGGTGCTGAGGGTGCTGCAGCACCCCCTGGAGTGTAGCCCATGAAAAAATGGGGGTACTGGGAAAGAACAATATGTAATAAAAAAATAAATAATATTCATTTTATTAATTAGTATATCCATTAAAATTCATTGAAAAAAGTAGCCTAAGCCTACAATGACAAGAAGCAATGGTTAAATATGAGTCAAGTTAAATCAAATTGACTGTGAAAGTCGTTTCAACTGATTAAACTTATTAAACCGACTTATGGATTATATTATAACCTGTAACATGTCTCTGCCGTACCCAAATTAAAGGGGTCATATGATGCGATTTAAATTTGTCCTTTCTCTTTGGAGTTTTACAAGCTCTTGGTGCATAAAGAAGATCTGTAAAGTTGCAAAGACTAAAGTCTCAAATCCAAAGAGATATTCTTTATAAAAGTTCAGAGTCAGCCACGCCTACCTAAAACGGCTCGTTCTAACACGCCCCCACATATCTACCTCACTATGTGGGAAGATTTGCATAACGCTGCCCAAATGTTCACGCAAAGAAAGAAGGCGTAACTTTTATTCTCACTGTAGTATTGTTGACGCTGCAGCCATGTCGTGTGTTTCGTTGTGAAAGCGAAACTACTTTGTTTGGTCTTCCAAAAGAGGACAATATCCGCTTTGTCATGCCTAGAGCTGGG